TAACGTTGACCTATGAACCCGGAGGTCATGGTTCAATTCGCGGTCAGGGCACATGCCCAGGTTGCAGGCTCAGTCTCTAGTAGGGTGTGCAGGAGGCAGCTAAATAATAATTCTCTCTCATTATTGATGTTTCTATCTCTCCCTCTCCCTTCCTCTGAAATTAAATAACACACAACAAAAATGGGGGAAAGTCAAGTGGGGGGGAGAGATATATGTAATACACTTTGTAATACTTTAAGGAAATCTAATGAACAAAATAAACTGATGAATAAAATAGAACCAGAGGCATGGAAACATGGAACAGACTGACAAATCTCAGAGGGAAGAGGGGATGGAGGCAGGAAGAGATTAACCAAAGAACTTATATGCATACATGCATTACCCATGGACACAGACAATAGGATGGTGAAGACCTGGGATGGGCGGGATCTGGGTGGAGGAGGGAAAAGGAAAGGGATATCTGTAATACTCTCAATAACGATTTAAAAATATTTTGTTATTGATTTTAGAGAAAGGAAGGGAGAGGGATAGCAAGATAGAAACATCAGTAAGAGAGATGCACTGGGGATGGAGCCCACAATTCAGGCATGTGCCCTGACTGGTAATCGAACCATGACCTCCTAGTTCATGGGCCACAATGGCCAGGTTCAACAATAAAGATTTTAAAAAATAAAATAAAATAAGCAACATTCAAAAAGTTCGGAAACTTAAAAAAAATAAAAGCAATGTAAAAAATATCCTCAGGTGAGTTTAAAAAAAAATTCTGTCATGATCTGTGTCATTTTAATTTTACAGTTGAACCTACAGAGTCTCTTGCTAGGAGTACATGAATATATATATGAAAAAAATACTTTCGTTTACAAAACTTAATTTGTCACACGACATTTTGAAGTTGTGTTTTTACCATGCACAGGTTCATCTTCATCGACAAACAGACAGGGTTCTATTTCTTTCAAGGACCGCCTTCCTTCAAGCCGGGCAAGGAGCTTCAAAAGGAAAAAAAAGAGAGAAGGAAAAATCGTTACCTAAAAATGTAAAATCTTGAAAATCTGCATTTATGTAATTTTCCAAAAGACTATAAAAAAGGCTTTCCAGCCAAAACCGGTTTGGCTCAGTGGATAGAGCGTTGGCCTGTGGACTGAAGGGTCCCAGGTTCGATTCCGGTCAAGGGCATGTACCTGGGTTGCAGGCACATCCCCAGTAGGAGATGTGCAGGAGGCAGATGATCGATGTTTCTCTCTCATCGATGTTTCTAACTATCTCTCTCCCTTCCTCTCTGAAAAAATCAATAAAATATATATAAAAAAGGCTTTCCATAATTTTAAGGGTGTAGAGAGAATTCTGAAGTAAATATAACTTAGAGGAAAAGTTGTATTCACTTGTTCAGAAAATATTTCATTTTTTGTTTATATACTCGGTATGGATGGTATGGGTTCCTGCCCTCAAAGGAGCTGATAGTATAGTCTGGGATATAGACTAAACTGCTAAATGCAATGTATTCACCTTCCTTATGCATTATAATTACCTTTCTCACGATGCTTATTGTACCTGTTACACAGGTACTGGTGTTTAATCTGTCTGTCAACTCCTTTTCTAGTGGGGGGAACTGGACAAAGGAGAAAGGTGGAGAAAACTTCCTTGGGGGGCTCCTACCTGAATTAGGTATGTGGGGCAGAGGTGGCCAACGCGCAGAGGTTATAAACAGCACTGTGTGTAGGTCAACCATAAGCACATTTGAATTGCTACAGCTTGTAGCACAAAACAGACAGGAGATAATGAAGTTCCAAACAGCAGAGGTCAGGTCCCAGAAGGTCTCAGATGCCATGCTCAGGAGCCTGCTCCTTGGCTTGTACACAGAGCAAGGGGTCTCAGCTACACAATGAGAAGCAGTCTGGACAATGCAGAGTAGACAGTCAGGACTCCAGAAGCAGACTTGCTATGTCACTTCCCTGGGCCTGAGGTTTCTCATCATAAAGTGAGGGTAACGAATGGTATATCTCCCTCACAAAGCTGTTGAGGATTCAATGTGTTAAGAGTGCTGCCTTGGATGGCGGCATAGGTTAACACCAGAGATTGCTGCCTGGAACAACTAAGTCAAATTAAGCTTGATCCAGGGAAAGGACAACGTCCAGAGCCACAGGAGGGCTGGCTGAGTGGAAATTCTACAACTAGGAGTAAAGAGAATATCATATCCAGGAACTAAGGTCTTAGGATTGCTACCCTAGAGAAAGGCCAAGATTGGAGATTCTGGAGTCATCTAGAAAATGATTCTCAGCCAGGGAAGCTTTTGCCCCCAGGAGACATTTGGCAATGCTTGGTCGTCACAACTGAGGTGGGTGCTACTGGCATCTAGTGGATAGAGGCCATAGATACTGTTCAAACATCCAACAGAGCCCTGACCAGTTTGGTTCACTGGATAGAGCGTTAGCCTGCGGACTCAAGGGTCCCAGGTTCGATTCTGGTCAAGGGCATGTACCTTGGTTGCAGGCACATCCCCAGTAGGGGGTGTGCAGGAGGCAGCTGATTGATGCTTCTCTTTCATCGATGTTTCTAACTCTCTATCCCTCTCCCTTCCTCTCTGTAAAAATCAATAAAATATATCTTTAAAAAAAGAGTGCTGCCTTGGCCAGGTAGCTCAGTGGGCCCCGATATGTCAAGGTTGCAGGTTCAATCCCCAGTCAGGACACATACAAGAGCCAACCAATGGATGCATAAATGAGTGGATCAACCGGTCCATGTTTCTCTCTCTCTCAAAATCAAGCAATAGCCCTGGCCAGTGTGGCTCAGTTGGTTCCCAGGTTGCGGCTCAATCCCCAGTGTGGGATGTGCAGAAGGCAGCCGATCAATGATTCTCTCATCATTGATGGTTCTCTCTCTCCCTTCCTCTCTGAAATCAATAAAAATATATTTTAAAATAAATAAAATAAAAATATTCTTTGTGATGACAGGGAACATAGTAGTAGTAAAGAATGTAACCTAGTCCTAGACCAAAGAGAGGTTTGGCTCCTGGAAACCATCTCTAAGCCTCTTAGAATATCCAGTCGGATAAAGTGTTTTTGTGTACCTGGGGCCCTTGAGCCACACCAGATGGTAGAACAATGTGCTGGGGGCTTTGGGTCAGCTCAAATTCTGCTATCAGCTCTGGTGTCTGAGGAGCTGGAGACAGAGGTCAGCTGTTTGGGCAGCTGACTATGTCCACAGGACAGAGCCTCATTATGACTCTGGACACCGAAGTTCAGGTGGTCTTCCCTGGCTGGCATACTGTCACATACTGCTGCTGAGAGAAGTGAGCACTGCCTACGACTCCACTGGGAGAAGACAAGCAGGTCTGCATTTGGAATTCTTCTGGACTTTATCAATTACATCTCTTCCCTTGGCTGATTTCAATCTGATCCCTCTCACTGGAGTAAACCATAGCCACGAACAGGGAGCAGGCAATTCTGCGAGTCTAATGATTTCTTAAACATGAAGGTGGTCTTGGGGACCCCTGAACTTGCAATTAGTGTTATGAGTAACATAATCTTGGGGCCCTGAATTCTGCAGTTGGTGTCCAAAGTGAAGGCAGTTTTGGGGACTTCCACAATGTCACAGATAAAGTACTTCTGCTCCAAACACAAATACAATGGTTTCCTCTCGGAAAAGCAATTGTATGATTATTTGAGTTAGAGAATTTTTCCCCGGAATACTATTTTATTACTTGAACTTTGGAAAATTTTCATCCACCACTGTGAGCCTGACAGCTTCCCAATACTTAAGATCCTTTTTGGTGAACTCACTGGTGAGTTTAATAAATGTGATTTTTCAGGATAATTACTTAACGAAATGTGTTAACACCTGGAAGATCTGCATAACTCAGTATTTCCAAATGACCAATGCATGATGTTAAAACATTCCTGGGTATGCCCTACCCAGGGGTCGGCAAACTGCAGCTCGCAAGCCACATGCGGCTCTTTGGCCCCTTGAGTGTGGCTCTTCCACAAAATACCAACTTCTGCGCATGGGCCACGAAGTTTCAATTGCACTGTACGTGCGCGCCCACACGTGGTATTTTGTGGAAG